AAAAAAAAAAAAGACATTTTGCCTTGATTTTTCTGATAAAATAGAGAAATGTGTGTGTAGGGGGGGTTGTTGTTGAAATCTTTTATCTATTTTCATTTTTCTAAAAGTATTACATTTTGTATTTGTATAAAACTTTGTCTCTAGTTATAATTTGTCACCAAAACTATATTTTAGTGTAGAATTATTTAGGCCCAGAAGAGTTTTGTGTGTATCAAATAGCTGGATGAATTGAAAACATGCAGACATTTTAAAGACTACAGTTTAAGACTGTTCAATAAAATTTAATAGTTTTAAGGTTTTTTGGTTTTTGTTTTTAAATAAACTAAGACTGAGCTGATATTTTTAACTGTTTGTCTCAATAAAGGCATATTTCTCAAATTTCATTTTGGCTTTTCATAAAATAATATGATTGATAAAATGTGAGCCTTATCTATCTGCAGATGCATTGCTCAGGGTTGGCATGGCATCCTGATATTGCTACTCAGATGGTCCTTGCCTCAGAGGATGACAGGTTACCAGTGATCCAGATGTGGGATCTTCGATTCGCCACCTCTCCGCTGCATGTCCTGGAAAACCATGCCAGGTACTATCTGCTGTTCCAAGGAACTTGATTTGCTTGTTTTCTAAAACATTTATTTACCACTTTGAATTGTCAGGTAATTTTTTAAAATAAGAGAATCTACTTTGTCTCTATCTTATAAAAGGTAATGTAAATAAGTGGTTTGTTTTTATTTTAAGCAATAGTCTTTCTATACCAAAAAATGGTAGCCAAATCATACCATAATGACAAAAATCCTTTGTTAAAGGGTTTTCTACTACTTACTTCAAATAATAGTTAATAGATCACAGTTCTGGTATATTACAACACTTTGGGACAACCCTTGAAATTTATTTTGAAATTTGATCTTTATTAGGGTCCTCATACTTATGAAGATGAATCTGCTATAACATTTGATGTCAAGCAACAATTAAAAATTTTTTTTTATTTCTAAGTTTTTATTTTAATTTAAAAGCAAACTTTTTAAAAGAAATTATGTGGTTTATTCTGCTTTCAATTTTAATAAATTTGTGGATGCTCTGAAAAGATAAGAGAATTTTCTATTGTTAGTTTTATTATCATTAAATTTAATTAGTAATTTGGCAAATTTCCTGTCATTGATATTCAAGTGCCCAGAAAGTTTATGCATATTTGTTCAATGTTTTTAAACAAGAAACAAATTTTTTTAATGGTATAGTATTTTCTAAGTACTTTTGGGCTTTTTTCTTCTTTCTTAGGGATATATAGACTAAAGCTTTAAATCTCTTTTGTCCTGTGTAGTGGGTTTGCACACTAGGAAGTCTTAATGAGTCTTAAGGTATGTGTTCTATCCTTGAGCTTCTTATAAAAGAGAAAAGAGTCTAGTCAAAATATAATTCTATTTCAGTGTTATTCTTCTATCAGATTTTTAGTAAAGAGGAGTTGATTCTGAAAAGTTTCAGTATTTTTCTTGAGTTATTTAAGATTGTTTTCATTCATTCATTCAACACTCATTAAACATGTGCTCTGTACCAGGCACTGTACTAGAACTCAGTAACAAAACAAACAAAAATTGCTGTCCTTAGGTTGCTTACATTGTAGTAGTAGGATGTAGTAGGACAATTAACACTTATACAACACATGAAGTGTACAAGCATTTTACATGTTAGCTTGATTAATCCTCATAATAACCCTATAGTGTAGATACTATTATTATCCTGTTTTACTGATTGGAAATTGAAGCCAAGGTCACACAACTAGTCAAGTGCTGACTTCCAACCCATATAGTCTGCTCTCAAAGTTGACACTCTTAACACTCCACCCTACTACCAAGTTTAAGAGTGGTCATAATTTAGCAAGGCACCATGCTGGGTGCCAGGTTGGCAAACCAACCTCTCCAGTTCTCAATTTCCTTCCTCTAATAAATGAAAGAATTGGAATATATGATCTTTTAGCTTCCTTACAGCTCTATAATTCTGTGTTTAAAAAATAAAGTAGTAAGAATCTATATGTTGTCTAAGATGTCACATGAAATGGATTTCTTTAGAAGGCATTCTTGATATGCCTTGAAATTCATGACATGCATGATTGAATTCTGGAGGGGAGGAGGCAGTTATAAAGTACATCATTGATATTACTGGGAAAATTTTAATATGGAGTATATATTAAAAATAGAATTGCATATAAATAAATGTTTCACGTATGTAATTGTATTGTAGTTATGTAGGAGGATGCTCTTATCCCAGGAGGGAAGTACAGGGGTGACATGTCATGATATCTGCAATTAACTCTCAAATGGTGAAAATCTATGTATATATCTACATATGTATATGTAATGAGAGAGAAAGACATAAAGTAAATGTGGCTAAATCAGTAAATTTAGGTGAGGAATATAAAGGTGGACATCACGCTGTCACATAACTTTTACAAAGGTTTGAACTTTTTAAAAATGTTGGGAACAAAAGGTGTTCTTCACACGAATTGGGTTCTTTACCTCCCCCGTATTTTCTTGATTCTGAAAGGACTTAGATCGCAAGAATATCATCAAATTAAAAACAACTTTTGGGGGCTGGCCTGTGGCTCACTCGGGAGAGTGTGGTGCTGATAACACCAAGGCCACGGGTTCGGATCCCATATAGGGATGGCTGGTTGGCTCATTGGGTGAGCGTGGTGCTGACAACACCAAGTCAAGGGTTAAGATCCCCTTACCAGTCATCTTTTAAAAAAAAAAAAAAAAACTTTTGGGGGTAAGAAAAACAAGACTAACTATATACATTAATAATAAGGCTTATCTTTATTTTGGGAACTTTAAAATGTAAAAAGAACCATGTATTTTAGAGCTACTGTAATGTTTTCAGGAGAGTTGAGGGATATTAATTTGTATGTTTTTGTTTTAAGAAATACTCAAACTTAATTCTAGTTTCTAGTAGTTTTCTAGTATCTAATATCTTAACTCTGGTTTCTAGTATCATCTCTAAACAACATAAGCATGAATATAAAAATGACAAAATGTTAATAGTGGTTTTCTCTGGATGATGGGATACAGGAGATTTTTATTTTCTTTGTGCTAATCTGAATTTTCAGAACTTTTCCCTTCAAAAATATTACTTTTGTTATATTGAGGATAAAAGAAAATCCAAAACTTATGATACCAAAAGAACTATAAAATCAAATTTTTTGGAATGTAGACCTTGGTTCTTCTTTATGAGACATGTTTTAAATTCTTTTTATTAAAAAAAAAACCTGTATGAAAAGAGGACTTCTGATAACAAAAGCTAGAAAATGTAAACAAAAAGAAGAAAATATTAAATACATTTCCTACCCATCCATAGGTAAAACATTTTATTGTACATATCTAATTTATGTAAATGCATAGTCCCTATGTAATTCTTATGTAAATAGGATAATTTATGCATATAGTTAGATAATATTTTTTCATTAATCATGAAGACTGTGTAATAGGAGTAGATTTCTAATTTTTATAATTTTTTTTCTTTTTTTTATGGCAGCTGGCTGGTACAGGGATCAAACCTTGGATGGTGGTGTTAGCACCACATTCCAACCAACTGAGCTAACCGGCCAGCCCTAATTTTTATAGTTTTTATCCATGCATTTTCTCATCCAAAGGTGGCTTGTAATTTATTATAATATAGTCCATGTAGTTGGGCATTTGTTTTCATTTTTTGCTATCATCACTGTATACTAGGATATTGAACATCCTGTGTCCTTGCAGTGATCAAAGAGCATACACATAATTTGCTGCATTAAATTATACTTCTGTTAGGAAGATGTGAATCTCCAAAGCCCAGATAGAAATAATTTGAGATTTGGTTTTCTCAAGATGAAAAATTTTTCTCATTACTTTGTGGTTTTTTACAGGGGGATTTTGGCAATTGCTTGGAGCATGGCAGATCCTGAATTGTTACTTAGCTGTGGAAAAGATGCTAAGATTCTCTGCTCTAATCCAAACACAGGAGAGGTATGGGCAGGAAATGTTTCTCAACCTTATAGCCCTTGTAGTATTTTATTTCTAACTAAATGAGAAATTTTCTATATGGATTCTTTAGTGCATTATTATAATTAAGTACATATGAAAATAGATAGAGGTGTGTGTGAAATGTTAATCCAGCAGAGAGTATATCAGGAACGTTTAAGCTAGCCATTTCAACTAGAAAAATTAATCATCGAAATAGTATATTTGAAGTTAGTAATCACCAACCCCACAATTTCCAATAAAATGTGTTTATTACCTAAATTCAGAAATACTTCGTTAGATTTATTTCACATTTGGTTTATGGAAATCAGTATCCTCTATGTAGGATTATACAAGGTTTGGGTCTTTTTCGTGCTTTGTCATTTCTGAAGATCCTTGTTGGAAATTAGTAGTCACAGTTTTTCAGTCTTTCCTCTGAATGATAAACCAAGAATATAATACTTTGTAATATTTGTCATATGTCCTGCCCATGGAAATTTAGATGTAGGAAATTTTACTTTATTAAATGCACATACTGTATAAATGTCATATAATTTTATTTGCTTTGGATTATGGGCTAAAATTCTCTTTTAACTAATATTTTCTTTATTCTTCTTAATAATTGAATGGTTTCCCTACCTTTCACTATTGGACCAGAGACCACAGATTTTATGTTTTTAATTTTTAATTTTTTTGGTAGCTGGTGGTAAGAGACCATAGATTTTAATTACAGCTTTTATACTTTCATCTTTTCTATATCAAGGTAGATTATTGCAAGTGTTTTTGTAGTTACTCTGATGGAATGCAAATGGCTGGTGGTAAGAGACCATAGATTTTAATTACAGCTTTTATACTTTCACCTTTTCTATATCAAGGTAGATTATTGCAAGTGTTTTTGTAGTTACTCTGATGGAATGCAAATAAAAGTAAGAGTGTTTTCAGTAGGTTTTAATCTATATTGTTAAAATGAAAACAAGCACTTTAGTTATTTGATTTCTGGTTTAAAGTTTTTGGATGTAGCAGTATGAGAATACAGAAACAAAGTTGGGGAGACAAGAGAAAAAATTTTAAATAATAACAAATTTTACCTCATGTGATTTGTAGGCTAAATAATTAAAATCTTGCATTTTGCACTGTGCCTTCCCCAGAGTGTTCAAAATTCATGGAACTTACTGTTCTGTCATAATTTTCTAAGTTATATAATTTGATAAAATGAATTTTTGCATGTGATTAATAGCATGTGCTTGGACTTTGAAGGAATAGACTTTTAGTGCATGCTGTAACTTTTAAAAATTAGATTTTTAAAAAATTCAAATGCAAATTAAGAGTAGACAAGTGATTTAAGTATGATGGAGCTACATGATTTATCAACCAATATAAGCATCAAACACATGAGCAAGCTAAATACTTTTTTACTCGATTCTGTTATTTTATAAAATAAAGCATTTAAAATGTCACATGAAGCCAAAGTTAATTAAGTTCATGACTTGTTAAGGCCTAAAACCTATGCTGCTGTGAATAGCAGTTACCAGCACACTAACTTTGAGTTAGCGACAATAATAACATTGTTAAGGTTTTATATCAGTCGTTTTCTATAGTTTTTTCCATGTCCTTTTCCCTATAAAGAAAGCTGTTAATGCCAAATTTTATTAAGATTCTGGAGCAATAGGAATGATGTGTACGTGTCTCTCTTGACCAAAAGGTAGAGTTCTCAGTGAATTCTTCCCTCTCAAGATTGGTTTTAAAATTTTGTCTTCAAATAACCTAAATATGGTTTTTTGGGCCTTGCCAGGCAAAAACAGTTGGACTGGACAGATTAATCTTTTAGAGTTTAACAAGTTGACTCTGAGATAGTGCTCTGGGCTTTCAAATGCATCTCTACTACCATTTCAATAAAAACAGAAAAACTTCAGTTTTTAAGATGTGCTTGTTTAATTCTGATTGAAATTTTAAGTAACATTCCTGTTTATCATAATCGACCATCATAATGGGACCTTTTTGTACTTGAAAAAATATTAAGTATTGTTTTTCCTGGCTAAGGACTCTTTCTAAAAGAAAATGTTTAATTTAGCTGTACTTGTTGATCACATTAATTCAGGTGTTTTGGTTATGAAGTGGCTATATACCCTTTTCTGATTGTTGTTTGTTGTCTTTTTTTTTGACCTAGGTGTTATATGAACTTCCCACCAACACACAGTGGTGCTTTGATATTCAGTGGTGTCCTCGAAATCCTGCTGTCTTGTCAGCTGCTTCCTTTGATGGGCGTATCAGTGTTTATTCTATAATGGGAGGGAGCACAGATAGTTTAAGGCAGAAACAAGTTGACAAGGTAATGGGAAGTGTTAAGGTTTTTTATTATAGCACCTGAAAATAATAATCATATTGTATAATTAATAATTTTGAAAATGAGTTTACTGATAAACAGTGCTGATTATTTGGGTAATTATGATAAAAAATGTTTCTTAGATATGACTTGAAAAAATGCAACATATTTTGTGTAAGTTACAGTTCTTCACATTATTATTTTTTAGCTTTCATCATCTTTTGGGAATCTTGATCCCTTTGGCACAGGACAGCCCCTTCCTCCATTACAAATTCCACAGCAGACTGCTCAGCATAGTATAGTGCTGCCTCTGAAGAAGCCACCCAAGTGGATCCGAAGGCCTGTTGGTGCTTCTTTTTCAGTAGGTGGATTTTGTTTTTATGGTCCACAGGCAAAAGGCTTTTCATAATAAATTGTTAGTATAGGGTCATTCGGAAGAAGTTTGGGTTTGACTTGTTTGTGGGTTTTTCATCATTCAGAAAGGTTTCTCGGAAAAAGTGGGGCTAACTACCCTTTTTTCCTTTTTTTAAAAATTGTGACAAAATACACGTAACATAAAATTTATCATTTTAATCATTTTTAAATGTACAGTTCACTGGCATGTAAGTACCAGTTTTGATTATCCATTTCCTCCCTCCTCCCTCTTTCTAAAACTTCTCTTCTTCCTCTTTCCCTCCTTTTTTTTCCTTGGTGGGGTGTCCTCCTTCCTTCTCTTTTTCCTTCTAGTTTTTTTTTTTAATTGCCAGCTTTTTTTATTGTAAAAAACACATAACATAAAATTCACACTCTTAACCATTTTTAAGTGTGAAATACAAAGTACAGAAGTGTTGACTATGTACACATTGTTGTGCAATAGACCTCTAGAACTTTTTCATCTTGTAAAACTGAAACTTTATACCAGTTGAAGGTACAACTCTGTTTCTCTCCCACCCTCCCAAACACATTCTACTTTCTATTTCTAGGAGTTTGACTATTCTAGGTACTTCATATAAACAGAATCATGCAATATTTGTCTTTTTGTGGCTGGTTTATTTCACTTAGGATTATGTCCTCAAGGTTCATCCATTTTATAATGTATAATAGGATTTCCTTCTTTAAAGTCTGAGGAATATTCCATTGTATTTATTATATTCCACGTTTTCATTATCCATTCATCTGTTGACAGACATTTAGGTTGTTTCCACCTCTTAGCTATTGTGAATAATGCTACAATGAATATGGGCATGTGAATATCTCTCTGAGACCCTGTTTTCAGTTCTTTTGGGTATATACCCAGAAGGGGGATTGCTGGATCATATGGTAATTTTAGGTTTATTTATTTATTTTGAGGAAACTTCATACTGTTTCCGTAGTGGTTGCACCATTTTACATTCCCACCAACAGTGTGCAAGGGTTCCAATTTTTTCACATCCTCTCCAGCATTTGTTATTTTGTTGTTGTTCTTTTTGTTTTTTATAGTAGCTATCCTAATGGGTGTGGGTAACTTGTGATATTGATTTGCATTTCTCTGATAATTAGTGATGTTGAGTATCTTTTTATATGCTTGTTGACCGTTTACAGTTGTCCTTCAGTATTGGCAGGGGATTGGTGGATCCCCCGTGGATACCAAAATCCACTGATACTTAAGTCCCTTATTTAAAGTGGCATAGTATTGGGCCGACGCCGTGGCTCACTCGGGAGAGTGCGGTGCTGGGAGCGCCAAGGCCACGGGTTCAGATCCTATATAGGGATGGCCGGTGTGCTCACTGGCTGAGCGCAGTGCAGGCGACACCAAGCGAAGGGTTATCCCCTTACCGTTCACAAAAAAAAAAAAAAAAGTGGGATAGTATTTGCATATAACCTATGCATATCTGTCCATACACTTTAAATCATCTCTAAACTACTTATAGTAATTAATACAATGTAAATTCTATGTAAATAATTGTTATACTGTATTTTTATTTCTATTATTTTTTATTGCTGTATTGTTTTTTGTTTTTGTTTTTAATATTTTTGATCCGTGATTGGTTGAATCCACAGATGCAGAACCCACAGATACAGGAGGCCTACTGTATATATCTTCTTTGGAGAAACGTCTATTCATATCCTTGACCCATTTTTTAATCAGGTTGTTTGGTTTTTTGTTGTTGGATTGCTGTTCTTTATATATTTTGGATATTAACCCACTATGAGATGTATGGTTTGCAGATATTTTCTCCTGTTCTGTAGGCTGCTTTTTCACTTTGCTGAGCAGAAGTCCCATTTTTCTATTTCTGCTTTTTTTTTTTTTTTTTTTTTTTGACATGTGCTTTTGGTGTCATATCCAGGAATTATTGTTACTGACAGACCAGGCTCAGCTTGCCCTCTAGCATTAAACAAATGACTCAAAAAAGTTCAGAAGTTGGTGCAAGGATTAGAAAGTTTATTCAGGTAACCAGCCTGTTCTGGAGTTTATAAAGGGGAAGAGGCAGGAAAATGAGGTTAGGTTCTTTGTTTCAAAGAAAAAGTGGGGGGAAGAGTCTGGGAGCAGCAGATGGTCTGAGTGAAATGTCAGGGTCCCACGATGGATTGGAAACTTCAGCATCACAGAGTCTGTGGTCAGCTTCAAGTCCTTGATGTTATCTTGAGGTTGGATTGCTTATCTCTTAGGGAGAACTCAAAGATAATAACCTTAGTCAAACATCATAAATATACCTGACTTGGATTTCTAGTTAACGTGAATGCAGTTTTCCTTAAAGAGGGGAAGTTTACAACCCGCTAGGTTGTCTTGCCTCTCTTATATCTCCTCTTGTTTGCAGCCAATTAGAGATGTAAAAAAAACAAGAAACTTAGTTTCAGTCCTTAATTGTAGGTGCACCCCCTCTGAAGTAAATCAACATTAGAGGCAGTGATTTCATCTGTCCGGGCAGTCTCTCAATTCTTCTGCTAACCTCAAGAATTGATAATTATCACTTTCCAAGTTAAGGGCTGACTGAAATGTTCTGCTTGGTCTTAGTTACCCCAAAGATGGTTGTTTTTCTGGCTAAGGTCCCTTTCATTATTGCAAATCCAGTGTTATTAAACTTCTCCCCTATGTTTTTTTCTCGTAGTTTTATAGCTTCAAATCTCATGTTTAAGTCTTTAACCCATTTTGAGTTGATTTTTGTGTATGGTGTAAGGTAAGGATCCAGTTTCATTCTTGTGAATGTCCAGTTTTCATAACACCTATTGTTGAAGAAACTATCTTTTCCCCGTGTGTAGTCTTGGTGCCCTTATCAAAGTTCATTTGACCATATACACAAGGATTTATTTCTGTGTTCTCAATTCGTTTTCATTGGTCTATATGTCTATATTTATGCCAGTACCACACTGTTTTGATTACTACAAATTTGCAATAGGTTTTGAAATCAGGGCATATAAGACCTCCAGCTTTGTTCTTCTTTCTCCAGATTGTTTTGGTTCTTCAGCATCCTTTTTAGGATTCCCTATGAATTTTAGAAGTTTTCTTTTCTTTTCTTTTCTTTTTTTAAAGATGACCGGTAAGGGGATCTTAACCCTTGACTTGGTGTTATCAGCACCATGCTCTCCCAAGTGAGCCACAGGCCAGCTCAGAATTTTTGTTTTCTAATTTTGCAGAAAATGCCATTGGGATCTTGACAGGGATTGTGCTGAATCTGTAGATAACTTTGGATAGTATGAACATTTTAATAATATTAGATCTTCCATTCCATGAACACAGGATGGCTTCATTTATTTGTGCCTTCTTTAATTTCTTTCTACGATGTTTTGTAGTTTTCATGAACAAGTCTTTCACCTTCTTTATTTCTAAGTATTCTTTTTGATGCTATTGTTAATGGAGTAATTTTCTCAGTTTTTTTTTTTCAGATTGTTCATTGTGTTACTGTTTAGAAATGCAGCTGATTTTTGTGTATTGATTTTGTATCCTACAACTTTGCTGAATTCATTTATTAGTTCTAACAGTTTTTTGTGGTATCATTAGGGTTTTCTATATATATGATTATATCATCTGTGAACAGAGATAATTTTACTTTTTTCTTTCCAATTTGGATGTCTTTTATTTCTTTTTCTTGACTCATTGCTCTATCTGGGACCTTCAGTACTATGTTGAATAGAAGTGGTGAGAATGGCATCCTTCCCTTGTTCCTGATTTTAGAGGAAAAGCTTTTAGTTTTTCACCATTGTGTATAATGTTAGCTGTGAGCTTTTCATATATGGCCTCTATTATATTGAGATCATCCCTGTCTTAGTCTGTTCCTGCTGCTATGACAAAATACCACAGATTGGGTAATTAGTAAAGAATAGAAAATTTATTTCTTACAGTTCTGGAGGCTGGAAGTCCAAGATCAAGGCTCTGGCAGGTTAAACATCTGGCAAGGGCCCATCGCATGTGCTTCCAAGATGGTGGCTTGTTGCTGCATCATCCAGAGGGGATAAATGCTGTGTTCTCACGTGATGGAAGGGCAGAGGGAGCTAGCTAACTTCATCTAGCCCTTTTATAAGGTTACCAATACCATTCATGAGGGCTCTGCCCTCTTGACTTAATCACCTTTTAAAGGCCCCACCTCTGGGCCGGCCCAGTGGCGCACTGCTACAGTGCGCAGCTTGGGAGCGCGGCGGCGCTCCCGCCGAGGGTTTGGATCCCACATACAGACCGGCCACTCACTGGCTGAGCGAGGTGCGGGCGCAACACCGAGGGTTGCGATCCCATTGCCGGTCCCGGTCCGGTACGGGCGCGACACTGAGGGTTGCGATCCGTTGCCGGTCACGAAAAAAGACAAAAAAATAAAATAAAATAAAGGCCCCACCTCTTAATACTATCATATTGGGGTTTAAGTTCCAGTGCATGAATTTGAGAGGGACATATACATGTGAACTTTCTATGCCTGGTTTGTTGAGTGCTTTTTATCATGAAAGGGTGTTGAATTTTGTCAAATGCTTTTTCTGTATCAAGTGAGATGGTCATGTGATTTTTATCCTTTGTTCTATTAATACGGTATATTACATTGATTGATTTTCATATGTTGAACCATTCTTGCATCCCAGGGATAAATCCCAATTGGTCATGATGTGTAATCCTTTCCATGTACTGTTGAATTCAGTGTGCTAGAATTTTGTTGTGGATTTTTGTGTCAATATTCATCAGGGATGTTGGTCCATAGTTGTCTTGTAGTATCTTTGTCTGGCTTGGTATCAGGGTTGTCCTAATAAAATGAATTTGTATTGTTCCCTCCTCTATTTTTTGAAAGAATTTAGGAAGGATTGGTGTTAATTCTTCTTTGTCAGGTAATTCATAGGTCTCTGTTTCTTTAGGGCTGGTTTCTAGAGATTTATTTCGTTTATTTGATTGGGCTTTGTTTCCCTATTTCTTCATGTGCCTTGTTA